AGTGCAAATTAACATAAGGCATGCAAAAACCTCTTAATATACCCAGGGCAAAACTGATCAAACCCAAATTTGAGCTATCTCTAAATAACCCCATGGCAAAGGAGCTGGAACTAGATCACGTTTAAGTTCCCCTTCCAACCCAAATCATTCCATTTTTCCAACTTTTCCTTCTTTTTGCACTGGAGCAGTTTGAAACATTTTTTTTTTTCTTACCACCTAGGATTTCTGTCAAGCCCATTTCCATTTTAACCTGCCCACATTGTCCTTCTATTAGATATATTCCCTTGTATTTCCTTGCTTAAGGTAATTAGAAGATGTTATTAATGGAAAGATCTCTCAAGATAATGGTCTCCTGCAGTAAGGCAAATGCCAAGATGACATTTTTTTGGAGCAAGACACATTTATCTAGGGACATTCTCCTGTCTCATGCCTTATTTTTTTTTTTTTTTTCTGCTATGCCAAGCCATTAATGATGCAGATTTTGCCCTGATGTGCCCTGAAGTGGCAGTGGCTCTGTGTGCCAGTGGAAAACTTGGAAAACTTGGTCTCAGGAGCCTTGCAGAGACCCTCATTAATGAGGTTTGTGTTTTTTCTCCCTGTGATTCTCAGCACCAGGCTGGGCAGGGCTGAAGGGAAAGGTAAAGCCACCTATGAAGCACAGGGCTGAGACAATTAGCTCATTTGCTGCTGTGATATTTTGCCTTCCTAGTCTGGAATTCATAAACTTTTCCTGATTAATGGAAAAGCAGGCTTCAGCCATTAACTCACAATTTTGTTAACAACCTCCTGTGGCAATATTTCATGGGAGCCTTGGGAAGAAAATGTTCCAGGGCAGCCAGTGCAAGCTACTGGTGGGGTGACTTCTTCAGGCATGCTTTAAATGTTTTGTTTTTGTTGTTTCTTTTTTTTGTTTCTTTTTTTTTTTTTTTTTTTTTTTTTTTTTTTTGGTTTGGTTTTGTTTTTTTTTTTTTTTTTTTTTTTTTTTTTTTTTTTTTGTTTGTTTGTTTTTTTAGCTATTGATCATGTTTGAGACGCCCAGCCCATTGTCCTAATCTAAAGAAAACTACAAAAATGTGTTTTCAAAGCTGACAGAACGAGAAGGACACAGGAACTGTCTGTTCTGCTGAGTCTGACGTTGCCATTTGATTTCCTGCTCAGTGACGAAAACCAGGAGAAAGTTCAGCACAGGGATCTTGAATTTGCCATGCATTTCAATAACTCTTTGCTCCAGTAGCCACTGTGGCACTTATTTTAAAAATAAAGGATCAGAACCATGCATTCATCACCTCGTTTGGGTGATGTGCAGTGGAAGCTGTGCTAATGGTGAAATTTTAAAAAAACTGAGGAATTAGAAGCCTGTGAACTGCCCAGATTCCATAAATCCCGTCACAAAGTACATCCAGATGCATGTTTGCCTGCTTAAAACTTTGTCATGGATGGGATAATTTTTAGAGGAATGAGAACTGACAGCACCTGAATACCTACCACTGAATAAACAATCTTTATAATGGTTAAATAAACAATTTTCCTTTCCCCAATAAAAAAGACAATTCAAGCTATGAGTGTGTCTGACATCTGAGGAAGATGGAGACAAACAGCAGGTGAAAAAAAAGAAGAACAAAGAAAAGGTTTATGACCTTTTATCAGATATTAGAGATAATAAATTTTCTTCATCTATGCTTATCATTGACACAATATTCAGGAAAAAACACAAAGGGGGTTAAGAAAAGCACATCCTATGCGACCAAGGACTTTTGGAAGGATCTTTCAAATCCTGGCTGCTGGACACAGCTTCTCCTGACACAATATTTGTACAGAAATTTCCCCACTCGTACACTAATAGCGCAGCCCACCAAAGTGATTGTTAAGTTGTGGCTTTTTTCCTTGACTGAGTGGTTTAAAAAGTCTCTGCTAATAGATGCTAGTGGCAAATTATCAACAGAAGCCAAAGTGATTTTTGTCATATCTAATGGGCACTCAAAACACCGAGACAACCTCCACTAAAAATATAATTTGGAATTACCCCAGAAAAAACAACTGACTTTGGTTTTTAATGATAAACGCGAATAAAACTAACCACTCAGAGTTAAATTGCACCTGGATTAGTTACAGATGTTGTGAATTTAGGAAAATTCGGCCAAGAGACTCGGCAGTTTCCACTAGGTGGCATCCAGTGACCGCGTTTGGGCCGCCTTATCTCCACAAAACCTCATTCATACGGCAGATAAAGACCTGCATTATTAATTTATACCGCTGCATCCACTCTACACCTAATATTTGTTTAGCCAGCTGCTTCCTCTAATCCTCCTTAAATACCATTGATTGAAATCCTAAGTATATTCAGAGTTTTTACTTTTTTTTTTTTTTTTTTTTTTTCCCTTACCCCAAAGAACATTTTGTTACCTACAAGTTACAAGCTGCCTTTTCAGGCGCAGCACTGTGTGCTACAGTTCCTACCAGTGGAGACAGAATGTCTAATACTTCCTCACCAGCAACAGAAGCAGCTTGTCATATGAAAATAACTTTTTTTTTTTTTCCCCCCCACAAAATTTTTCATTTCCATAGAGTTCCAGCAACGAAGTACACCGCCAGGTTTACAATGAAACAGAAATGCTAAATATTTCAACTTCCAGGAACGGTTTAAGCATTGCTTCGGTGAAAAAGCAAATGAAAAGCAGAAATCATTAATTCCAGTTTTCGCACCTTAATCCTTGCAGTGAATTGGAAACCTTTTAATGTATTTAAATGTAAGCAATTGCAAAGTCTCTCCCCACCTGAGGATCTCAGAACACCTTTTAAGGGGTGGTCCATACTGCTTCCTGATTTTTTACTGAGTGGCAAGGAGGTGAAGTGACTTCATTAAGCATTGATAACTGTCCTTTTGGCTCCAGGCTGTGACAAAAATATTCCTTTTAATCACATATCAGCATCAAAATCACAAATGTTGGGGACATACTGTAGAAAACTGTAAACCCTTCTTACCAATGTTACAACAGAAACCAGTTTCTCCATCCTTTCCTGAAACCTTTTCTCCCTCTGCCCCAAGCCTTTGTACTTCTCTAGGGTTTTGTTGGGTTGGATTTTTAGGGTTTTCTTTGTTTTTTTTTTTTTTTTAGTATTTTGGGTAGTTTTAACCAGGCTCAGTGGCACTGGGAAGGAACTAAAGCCCCTGGGTTTGGGATGAGAGGATGCTGCGCTGTGGATTGTGCTGTGAGCCTCTGGCAGGGGCATGGCTGTGGACAACACTTTTCTTCCTGATGGGCTTTCTTCCTCTTTCTTATGGGAATCTGCTTAGACATCCAGGAATCTTATTAGGAAGACTGGTTTCCTGGTTTTTTTTTTTTTTTTTCAGAATTTCAGTGAGGACTGGCAGTCTTCACTATTACATTTACTTTTTTGGGGGGGTTTAACTTGTAAAAGCTGCTCTCCACATCTTTCCCACCCTACTTCACTTTAAAGTGTTGAAAACCATCACAAACTGGTCTCTTTTTATTGTTTTGGGGTTGGTTTTTTTTTTTTTTTTTTTTTTTTTTTCTGGTTCCCTCCTGAATTCTTGCTCCTTCCCTTTCCCCTGGGCAGGTGTAGGGGTTGGGATCTCAGGTGATGCGCTCAGAACAACTTTGCTGAGCTGCGCTTTACAGGACTGAGCTTTTGTGGCCTCACCAGACCCAAAACCCCAAGAAAACTGGAAAAACTCATGCCTGGGTGTGGCACGAGGGCTTTGCCTCCTGCATGCCACATCTTGGCACTGCAGATCCCTTCCTCACAGGAGCCAGCGGTGATTTTGCTGATTGTGATCAGCAAAATTTCCCCACCTGTCTCTAGAAGCCGTGTTTATTGAGAGGGTCTCAAAAAACTCAGCCTCACATCATCTCTGTCAACTTCCACACCATACACACTCCTGACAGAACAACAGGGCTCCTTCCAGAGTTCCTTCTTCCCACATTCAGGCATTGAAACAGGCATAAATACAAATTCATTGCTGTTCATCACCCACATGACACCAAGCACCGACATATATGGCAGCACTTTCTGCCCTGAAAGACCCCAGCAGCAATTAAACCCTCACTAATTATACACAAACAGCAATAAACCTCCTTAATTCAAACACACAAAAAGCTTTCCAGACCTTGCTATCTAAACCTACCACACAAGGAGTTTTGCCATGAAAAAAAAAACCCGTTCTGAATGGCACCTTTCTATGGGTTTGACCCCAAACCCCAAATAAACGGGCAGTAAAATGATGCAGCTATCAGAGTCCTGGACCAGCTCATGTGCAGCTACATCTGTAAAATGCTGAGGCATCCCAACTTTATCAGTGAGTGGAGATGGAGCAGGAACCTGTGCCAAACCTTATTCAGGCTTCCCTTGACAATAAATAGCCAAATATGACATCAGTATGCAACATATCACATCTTATCAAAATCCTCTTGCTCCCAACTGGATGGGCAGCACTTTGTGCAGATTCTGCTTCCAGCCCTTGGAATGTTTTTCTCAGTCAACCATGCTCTTTTCCCCTACGTCCTGAAAACTTCTAAAAGCATCTGGATGGATGGAGAAATACTTAAAGGACAAAACAAAAAAAAAAAACCCGAACAATAAGCAAAAAAGAAAAAAATAAAAAAAAAAAGACAAATCTCTGTGAGGAGAACAATCCCACAGGAGGAAGCCACAGAGCAGCAGTATACGACTTTTTGTCTTTCTGCAGTTGCAACATGATCCCTGCTTTGGTAACACAGAGCGCTTAAAAGTCAAAGACACTGAAGTTAGCCAGTTTCAATCCGTCTTTCACCCTCCTCGCCCCCCGCCTCAGCTGCCAAATTAGAGCTCCCAAAAATCCCTCCAGCGCAGGCAGCCCCGCAGCTGATGCCACAGGCGCTGCTTGCGGCGTCCCCGTCCCGCTCGGAGCAGCAAAGCAGTAAAAAAAAAAAAAAAAGCAAAAAACTTTCCCAAAAGTTTGATTTGGTTGTTTTTTTTTTTTTTTTCTCCTTTCCCTTTACCTTGCGCAGAGCTCCCCGCGAGTTGAGATGCTCTCGGGACTCTCCAGCAGCTGGGAACGAAGCGCAGGAGGAAGTTTTTGGTGCTCACCTTAAGTCAGAGGGTGTGCGTGTGTGTGCGTGTGTGTCTATGTCCCGAGTGTCTCTTTGTGGCTCTGGGTGGCAGAGGACCTGATCCAGGGAAGAGAGAGCCACTTTCTCACCGAGAGGAAAAGAAAAGCAACACGTCATGAGTTAAGTACGCCTCCAAGATGTCTTAATTACAGCCCAACGTGCTCCCATTCAGACCCCAGGAATGAGAGGGGAAAATAAACCCACAGGCTCGCGGTTTTCCCTGCGGCTCACACACCCACCCCCGGAGCCCCCCTCTCCCTCCAGGTCCCTGTCCTCGCCCCCCGGGTCCTGCCCGCCCAGACCCGCGCCTAAAAAAAGCCTCTCTCAACTCCACGCAAGTCCTGAGCTAAAAACTACACGCGACTTTAAGAGGAAAGAAAAAAAAAAAAAAAAAAAAAAAAAAAGGAAAAAAAAAAAAAGGAGAGAAAAGAAAGAAGTTGGTAGTGTTGCTTATGAAGAGACCATTGAATTTAGGGATTTAGGGTGTGTGACACCCTGAGAAACACGACACTTCTGACAACTTGCCTCCCAGCCCCCGCTCCTTTTTTAGCCCCCGCTCTCCCGTTAACTCCGAGGGAGTGATGCAGGAAAGCCGTGCGGGGGCGGAAACAGCTGGACCCAACAGGATCCCCTTCTGTTTCCCCTTTACCCCCAACTTCCAGTAGAATTATAAACCCAGCAAACAAACCCACCTTCTGTTATCACACCCCAAAACCAGAGCACACCTTGCTCAGGGACCTGGCATCCCTAAATCCCAGCAGCTGTTGATCCCAAGACTTTATGCAACTCCTCAACGCCACCCCAGGCCAAAGTATTCCTCCAGCATCCAAAAATGTCTGGGTTGCTGTCCCCTTCACGTCGTGAGACACACACAGCCCCAGTGGGGTCTGCCAAAATCCAGGCAGTGTGTGGCTTTAACCCCTTAAATGCCACGGCATGAAAAGCACACACGTCAAATCTCACACCTGACAACTGCAGGCAAAAGGTGCGGACGATGTTGCATCCCTGAATGTGTCTAATGTAAAAAAGCAACCAACCAAAACCAAAACCCCAAATCAAACAACAGCAGACGAAAGGAACAGTGTGGGGAAAGGCCAAGCCTTGTCGATGTACTACATGTTGGCAAATTTGGGCTCAAATCATGTTACTTGTGTAAAGCAGGTGTTACTTTACTCCGCTTGAGAAAAACGAGGTTCTTGATGTCTAAATCTCCCAACAGCAGTAGGGAATAAACGTGGAGTTCTTAGCCCCTAAAACTTGCCAGATCAAAAAGCACAGGTGGTCCAGCCAACTCGGTCCTGTGGATTAATTTTGTCCTTTCCCCTTCCCCCTCCCTCCCACCCTCTCCTTCCCCGATGCTGAAGAGAAGAATGCGGCCGTGTCACACCCACTGCAAATCCCCAACATCATTTTCCAGCCGGGGACCCCGCTAAGCTTTTATCATTGTGGGTGTCAAACTCCCAGCCCGCACCATCAAAAGAGGCTCTGCAGCCCATCAATCCTGCCCGATCAGGAAATGCCAGAGCCTGACACATCCTGGTGCCGAGGCACATCTGAGGGGACACCGGGTCCCAGCAGCGTCACCCGGCCGGGGTCACCGCTGCTGCGCCGCGGCGGCGACTTCACAGCACAGCCCACTGGAAGGAAGGAGAAAAGGAAAATAAAACAAACCCCAGGCAAATAAACACGGCTCTGGAATCATGCAGTACCCTGAGATGGAAGGGACCCACAAGGGTCACCGAAGCCCAGCTTCACACGACACCCTGACAATCGCACAAAGAAGGATCAGGGTATCAGTTTGAGGTTATTAATAAAGTTTTTGGGGTGGTGGGTGGTGGAAACACACCAAAAGGCGTGCAGTGCGCTTCTGTGCTGCCAAATAACGAGGTGCAGGTGGCCTCAGGGGAGGTATTCAGGGACCAAGGATGCTCGGACACGGCCGGGGGCTGGGTCCCCATCCCCGGGGCATCGAGCTCGCTCCGTGCCGGGGCACCCCGGGGGTCGGGCGGGGGCTGCCCACCCCCCGAGGGGGCCGAGGGGGTGCAGCGAGCCCCGGGTGGGACGGCACCGGCCCCTCCCGGCCGAACAAAGGGACGTTTCTTCGGGGCGGCCCGCCCGTCCATCCCCGCCTCCCGCCCTCGCCTCCGCCGAGGAGGAAGCGGCCTCAGATTTCAGCAACAGAGGGGCTTTGATGGGGCACGGCGAGAAAACACACCTCCGGCGGCGGGAGCGGGGCCGCGGGGCCCCGCGGGAGGGCGGGAGGAGGGCGGGATGCGGGATGCGGGATGGGGAATGAGGAGCAGGATGCGGGATGGGGAGCGGGATGGGGAGTGGGATGCGGGATGGGAGTGGGATGCGGGATGGGGGATGGGGAGTGGGATGCGGGATGGGGAGCAGGATGTGGGATGAGGAGCGGGATGTGAGATGGGAGATAGGGAGTGGGATGCGGGATGTGGGATGCAGAACACGGGATGTGCGGCGGGATGCAGGATGGGGACTGGGATGGGGAGCAGGATGCGGGATGTGGGATGGGAAGCAGTATGTGGGATGCGGGACGGGGAGTGGGATGCGGGATGGCAACAGGATGTGGGATGTCGGGCTGGATGGATGTGGGATGGGGAACAGGATGCGGGATGTGAAGCAGGATGTGGGGCGGGATGCAGGCAGGATGCAGGAGGCAGGATACGGGGCAGGATGTGGGATGAGGGGCAGGATGCGTGGCGGCGTGCGGGGCAGGATGTGGAGCAGAATGCGGGATGGGATGCAGGATGAGGGAGGGGACGTGGTATCCAGGATGGGATGTGGATGCGGGATGCAGGGAGGGATGCGGGGCGGGGTGGATATGGGGTGGGATGAAGGGTGCGGGGTGGGATATGGGATGCAGAGCAGGATGCGGGGAGGGATGCGGGATGGGGAGCGGGATGCAGGCAGGATGTGGGATGAGCGCCAGGATGCAGGGCGGTGTGTGGGATGCAGGATGCAGGATGTGGGCTGGGATGCAGGATGCGGGATGTGGGTGGGATGCGGGCAGCGGCGGCTGGGCACAGAGCTCCGGGGACACCCGGGAGAGCGGGGCTGGCACAGATTCCCCCTCCCCTTCCCACCCTCGGGGCCCTTCTCGCCCCGCTGTCCCCACCCTGTCACTCCCCACCGTGGCCAGAGCCGGAGCCCCCAGGAGCGCCACGAAAGTGACCAGAAATGGGCATTTCGCCGAGTTTTTTTACTGCCCTCATGCTTCATGATGTTTATTTCCCCAACACTCTTTTTCGGGTTGTTTACTTGTTTTATTTGCAGCGGGTTTGGGCTGAGAGAGCCCATCTACACCCAGAGCTGTGGGGTTTGGGTCAGCAAGGCTTTTAGGAGCCCTATTTTTGGTTTAGAGGCTCTCTTTTTGGTTTATTAGACAGCGTAAACCAAAAGGAACTGCAAAGTGAACCTGTGTGGTTTTCACTGTATTTTTTTTCTAGTTTTAAGTCAGGTTCACATAACTAAGAGGGTGAAACATCACAGAGTCTTAAAATAAAGCCTTCTTGTAAATCTTAAAATTAATTCTTGCGCCTTGTGGAGGTTTGAAGACCAGCTAATGGAGCTGCTGGGTACCAAGAGGATAGATCCGTGGAAAGTTCATTTTTTCCTGGATTTTCCATAGTCATCTTTCAGGCCCTCACAACTGAACATTGCTGAGCAGATGCTGGGCACAGGAATGTCATTTTGGGGCAATATGTGTGTTTTCACATATTAAGTACTAGAGAGATTTTGTTGACCAAAAGCAAACGTTCAAAACAAGCAGAGTGTTAATGATAAGCTTTGTTTGAGGAGAAAAATGCAATTCTGCAGGAGTTTTGGGTTAAACCCAAAAGCTCTGCTCAGCACGCCATGAGCTGCTGCCCTGTCTCAAAGGAACTTGCCTGATTAGCACTCAACAGAGGTTAAAAAAAACCACCCTGATTTCACATAGTTCTGACACTTCTGGAGGCCTAATCTGCATATCTTGATAGTGATGTTTCAGCATCAACCCCGTGGAGGGATTTTTGAGAGATGTGGAGTTAACTCCAGCTGAAGAGCTGCTCCACATGCAGAGCACTGCTCCGTGCACATCCATCATCTTCCAGAAACATTAAATAACCCTATCTATAATAGTGATCAGGGATGTTTATTGCCTTTCTTCCAAGCATAGTTTAGATTTTTTTTCCTCCCTCTCCCAGTGTCTGACCATGAAAGGGTGCAGAGTGAAAGCTGTTTGCTTAAACTCAGCTCAGATAAGATGAATAGATATTAGGTTTGCTTTTACCTAGGAGCACTGTCACGATGGGCAACTTCACAGGCCTGCTGATTATTATTCCTGGCACCTCAGACCCCAGCAACAACTCAAAAAAAAAAAAAAAATGAACATTCAGTATTATTTTGTGAAGGATTTCTGAATTTTCCTTTTTAATATGGTTGCAAAGATGGCATTCTCTTCAAAAGCAAGTATTGTCATTCGTGTTGCACTGGACTACAATGGGAAAACATTTTGGAAGCTCCCCCTGTTGCCACTTAAAATTGGGCATTTTTCAGGCTTTGAGGAGAAGGACACTGGGAAAACAGCACCTAAAGCACAATCTTCCAAATAAACCTAAAAAATCAGGGGAGGAAAAGTTACAGGGGTTTGTTTTCAACAGGTTTATCACTTTGATTTTGCATTGCCCACTTCTTGAGGGACTCATTTTTAAAGCTTTTAAAAGTCCTGCTACCCTGAAATTCTTAGAAATTTTCAAATCACAGTAGTTGGTGCCCATAAAGGTTTTTATTTGGGGGGGGGAACAAGACAAAAAGGAGATAAAACCACAAACATACACAACTGATATAAAAATTAGGGTTCTTTAGTGCCACAGCGAGGTGCATTTAGGACTTGTCAGAAAAATCAGGTGCTAGCAGGCACATCTTCCTGCAGGAAGATTATTGTCCTACATGAAATGCACTTTCTCTATGCTTTTAGGTTCTTAACAACTCTTTTATTGCCTGCTGTGTTCAAGTTTCACCATTATTCTTCCTGCACATGTCTTGCTGATCACTGGTGGATCTGCTGCTGGTCCCCAGGGCACCCCAGACATCTCCTCCTTCCCTCTGCCTGTGGC